TGAGAAACAATCAATGTATTCGCCACCCTGTGGGAACTAATTTAACTCCGGAAAATTCATGAACACCATATCTCAATTATTGTATGCCCCTTCCAGCCAATATATATATATATATATTACATGAAATACAACCCACACAAACCCTGCTCTGGTATCGGAGTGTATTGGATCTATGCATAAACTGGAATCCAATCTGTTTGGGGGCTATTCAATACTAGCCGGAGAGGGAATTCTCTGACTGACAGGTTTCGGCCTCCCTTTTGGAAGCTCTTTTGTGACCATAGCAGCAGTATATGCTTTTTGTTGTTTGACTTCTGACCTTCATGCGATTCAATTCTTGGATCGAGATTGTCATTGTCTTCCTCCAAGTCGGTGAGATTTGTTAGTGTTTTCAAACCCTGCTCCAACGAAAGGAATTAGAAATCAATCATCTCCAAATCCGCTTGCAAAAATTATGAAAAACCCATTCTTGTGCGAAAAAAACATGAATGGAGTTACCTCTGTGGTCTATTCACTCTTTCAGTCATCAATGAAATGTTTCGTTGCGAAACATTCAACACTACACGCCAGTCGGGGGCAAAGCCTCAAGCACCCTGAGTCATCAAATGTGAAAACTCAAGAGCACCCAGCCAGTTCCACCCTTACCAGTAGCCCAACCTAGATGCATCAGTCTTCCCAAACCAAAGCACAAAATACAACAGCAATTCACGCGTGGACGCCACCGAAAGGGAGCGAATGCCAATGCTGGAGCAAGGGCCACCCACAGTCTCTAAGTCACCGCTGCACTGCTGAAGCTTACCAAAATAGAAAAAAAAAGTGCGCCTGCAATTTATACGAAAGACGAATTCCTCTACCCCCGATGTGAACCCATCCAGAAAGGCCTATATGTATATATCTGCAGGATATATCCAAAATTATCCAAATAATTACATCGCGTTCCATGATGCCGCAGCGCACAAAATGGCGAGGTCTCGGTGTGCCAGTGCGAGCACAGCAATCGGTGTATCGGCGCATGAATGCGTGCGCGGCAGTCCGTGTATTGGTGTATCAGCACGAGCGCAGCAACCGGTGTATCAGCACGAGCGCAGCAACCGGTGTATCAGTGCGAGTGCGGCAACCGGTGTATCGGTGCGAGTGCGGCAACCGGTGTATCGGTGTATCGGTGCGAACGCGGCAATCGGTGTATCGGTGTATCAGCACGAGCGCAGCAACCGGTGTATCAGCACGAGCGCAGCAACCGGTGTATCAGCACGAGCGCAGCAACCGGTGTATCAGTGCGAGTGCGGCAACCGGTGTATCGGTGTATCGGTGCGAACGCGGCAATCGGTGTATCGGTGTATCAGCACGAGCGCAGCAACCGGTGTATCAGCACGAGCGCAGCAACCGGTGTATCAGTGCGAGTGCGGCAACCGGTGTATCGGTGTATCGGTGCGAACGCGGCAATCGGTGTATCGGTGTATCAGCACGAGCGCAGCAACCGGTGTATCAGCACGAGCGCAGCAACCGGTGTATCAGCACGAGCAACCGGTGTATCAGCACGAGCGCAGCACCGGTGTATCAGCACGACGCAGCAACCGTGTATCAGTGCGAGTGCGGCAACCGGTGTATCATCGGTGCGGAATCGGTGTATCGGTGTATCAGCACGAGCGCAGCAACCGGTGTATCAGCACGAGCGCAGCAACCGGTGTATCAGCACGAGCGCAGCAACCGGTGTATCAGTGCGAGTGCGGCAACCGGTGTATCGGTGTATCGGTGCGAACGCGGCAATCGGTGTATCGGTGTATCAGCACGAGCGCAGCAACCGGTGTATCAGCACGAGCGCAGCAACCGGTGTATCAGTGCGACGAGCGCATCGCAACGCGGGTGGTGTATCAGCACGAGCGCAGCAACCGGTGTATCAGCACGAGCGCAGCAACCGGTGTATCAGCACGAGCGCAGCAACCGGTGTATCAGCACGAGCGCAGCAACCGGTGTATCAGCACGAGCGCAGCAACCGGTGTATCAGCACGAGCGCAGCAACCGGTGTATCAGCACGAGCGCAGCAACCGGTGTATCAGCACGAGCGCAGCAACCGGTCTATCGGTGTATCGGTGCGAGGGCGGCAATCGGTGTCGGTGCGAGGGCGGCAACCGGTGTATCGATGTATCGGTGCGAGGGCGGCAATCGGTCTATCGGTGTATCAGTGCGAGTGCGGCAACCGGTGTATCGATGTATCGGTGCGAGGGCGGCAATCGGTCTATCGGTGTAT